TTCACAGTTGGATAAATTGAACAGAAAGATGACCAGCACTCTAGATGCCCTCGTACATCTATGACTGAAACAACAACGGTCCATCATTGACGAAGATTCAACTGTAACTCTGGGGTTCTTATCCTTGGAGCTTGGTATCAGTTATGGGAGTGCGTATGACATCGTGTATGGACACTTACAACTGAGAAGAAAGTGTTCTCTGTGGATACCCATTTGAGGAGGGAAGATCAGAAGAATGATCAGGTGCGGATTTATCGTCTGGGGTTAAATGGTCCAAAACATTTTTCACAAGTTGCCAGTGGAGACGAGTGCAGCATTTCTTTCTTCATACAGTGTTGGACAAGCAAGTCCAACATGGCATGGGTAGGTGATGTAGAGTCTTGACCTTAGATTTTAAGGAAGGATTTCAAAGCCAGAAGCACCTTTTCACCATATTCAATTCTCAATGTCCAATGTGCCTCAGTAGTCCACTATCACAGTCGATTACTACACCGACCAGGTCCTTCTGCACCAACCCGCCGCCAATCGCAACTCGTTGCACCACGACAGTTCTGCACCTTACAAAGCTCGTCTCACTGTGCAGTACCTGAAGTAGCAAGGAATCTCCCTTCTCCCCCCTTCACCTGACCTCGCTCCCTGTGATTTTGGTTGCTTAGAAAGCTTGAGGCTGCGAACGCCGGAAAGCAATTTCTTCGCACCCAGGATCTAAAACGAATAGTCAATTTAGAACTTCTGAACCGGCAAAGGAGGATGGCACTATGCATAGAGTCAGGAGGGAGTACTTTGAAGGAATGTAGGCCCCCGTTTTGGTTTTCATGGATGCCATATATAATATGATATTACTGTCATTAAAGGTATAGTATGCACTCCCATCCTTCATAGGCCTTTCAAAGACCACCTACTGAGACCAGATGAATTTAGATTCCCTCTTTGCAAAGCCACAGTAGACCATATCATTATGCCTTGGGTTATTTTAAACCGTTGTCAAGAGGTCAGTCATGGACTGCTCAAAACTTATATTCGAATATGAGTCGATACACCTTGAATAACTCTGGAATATCTTAAGACAAAGGTATTCCAGCAATGACTGTTAGATTAATAGTAAACTTATATACTGGTACAAACAGGGCATGTCTACTTTCCCTGTAAATTCAGTAGTGAGGCATTTTTAACACTTGTCTGACTGTATTGTATGTAGACCTATCATCCAAAACAACTTTGATTTTTTGCCACTGGAGACCCTAATGAGATTCCCGATCATATAGCTCTTAAATCTTGAGGTGTATTGATCTACGACCAAGATCCAGGAATTTGGGGGTCTACTATGAGAACCTGTTCATTGTCTCTGTTTGAGCCAGGAACTCGCTTAATATGGATATCCAGAAATCCTGGTGCCTTCAAGGCCCTGGTATTATTGAGTTTGTTGCTTAGTACTGACTCTGTCTTGTGTTTTAAAGTTTAGTCTTGACCCAATTGCAACAGGTCCTTGTGTAAATTCGTGGGGCATTTCGGGAGGACCGCGTATTCAATCAGTGATTACATTATGAGACCAATGTAGGCCTGTTGCTTGCACAGTCCGAGACCGCCAACATTACTGACACTTTCCTTGATTCCTTAAGGATGATCGCATTCTTCAGGTTGTCTACTTTTGAGACAATGATTGGTGGACGAGGCCTTTGGAAAGACCGACGAAGTAATTGCTTAGACAGATCAGCCAAATCTGTGTTGGGGAAATAGAGTCCTGTGGATATGCCTTGTAATTCGCCAAGACCCATTTGGCAAGAGATTAGCAGTGTGCCCAAGGGTTCTCGAGGTGGTATCAAGAATAGGGGCAACCTCCTTGCTACCGTGCCTGCATCACTGATGAAGTTCAGGGCACCAGGAGCCAGTGATCTTTAGTCTCTAGAACCTGAGAAAGTCCCAATATATCCCAATTAGTTTTGCTACTGGTTTTATCTCCCTTGCCGTGAGTGCCGATAGAACATTTATGGCCAGCTCAGTCACAGCCAAATATCGTATTTCAAGTTACCCAGTACAATGTAGTTATCACACCAAGGACAGCTATCTGCCAACTTTCTTTCACACCAGGTCTACATATGCCTGCAGGAGTGTCCACTGCTTTAACAAATATGAAACTGAATGGATGCATCAGTCTCATTGCTATTATATGCTTCCAAACTTGAAGTCTGCTGTATCACTACCATGCCCTTTCTTCTCTAACAGGTAGCCAATTTCATATTCAGCTTCCCTCCCTCCCCCCATCCTTCCTTTTCTTTCTCCATCCCTTACTACCCCTTTTCCCTCCCTTTCTCCCATTCCCCTCCCTCCTTCTTGTCTCCCTTTCTATTTCCCTACATTTTTCTGTGCAGCTGTATTAGTGGGACGGTTTAGTTTTTATTTGAATAGGCTCAGTTTGGGAGATAGTTAATAATTGATTCTAGTTTTGCTGGGGTCACATTTAGCATATCCTCCCTACCCCTTCTCTCTCTTTCTCTCTCTC